GGTTCTTTTGTGTTTTGACATCAGGCAGTCGTGGCGGCTATAAGGGAAAGAGTTTGCCAGAAGCACCAGGAGCCGCTGAAGCTCTTCTGCAAGGACGATGAAGCCCCCATCTGCGTGGTCTGTGAGCAGTCCCAGGAGCACAAATATCACAATATTGTTCCTGTGGAGGAGGCTTCCCAAGAATACAAGGTAGGAAATCTGCAAGGTGGATGATGGTGGGGAGGACGTGTGGATCCTACCTGTCTGCCCTCCTGGGTGTTCCACAACACTTTTTTGTAGGGAACCTCTCCTCCTGCTCAGGGGGTGATGCTTGGGAATTGCCACTCTTCAAGGCTGGCGGTGTTGATATCTGACCACCTGGTTGTCCTGCTGACCCACCAGGGAGCAGCAGTGGTATGGTAGGAGATTTTTTGCTTATCCCCCCCCCCCAGGCTATATTCTTCCTTTTTTAAAAAACAACAACCCTGCTTCTGCAGAATTGCTGTTAACCCTCTGGCAAGGGGTAGCATGGGACAGGACCAGTGCTCCCTCTAAGCTGAGTTAGTGTGAGCTAGCACACAGGTTTTTAGCCTCTGGCTCACACATTTTTGTCTTCGCTCAGGAAGGAGGGCTCCAGAGCAAACTGATTTATGCAGCAGCCAAACTGCTCACTCACAACTTTAATGCCGGTAGCTCGCAAAGTGGAATTTTTGCTCACAAGACCCCACAGCTTAAAGGGAGCATTGGACAGGCCATCCTGCACTTATGTCTAACTTGGCGTTTGATGACAGTTTTGCTTTTTACGTTTTATAGTAAACTTCTGAAAAGAGGCAGACCTCAATTTTGGGCCTTTTTCCTCCCCCCCAGGCTCAGTTCTGCACTTGTGTGGAGATTTTGCGGAAGGAGAGAAACAAAATCCTTGCGTACAAAGTCAGTATAGTGAAGGAAAGCCAAGACCTGCTCGTAAGTATCACTGTGGCTGGGAAGTAAACAGCGACTGGAAACTTCGAGTCCCAAATGCAGAAAACATGAGAAGGCAGCCTCCTGCCATTGGGAATGGCTTGGTTTCCCACAGGAAAGTTAATGCAAGACCCCTTAGAATTATGTGTTGTGAATGTTAAGAGGAGCACCTTTCGTCTTATATCTCTGCGATGAAAAGGATAGTTTGCCATACCAGCGCAAAAGCTCCATGTGGAAATAACCACAGTGTGTGTGGAGACTCGAGAAGCTTCTTCAGCTGTTTTTGTCTTGAACAAGCACTGAAAACATACACGGGGGAAACCACTGAGTACAAAATTCAGAAAACTTAAGCGAGTCAGCAGCCTCCTCCAATTTGTAATGGTCTGGTTTCCAACGGAGGAGTGCATGAAAGACCACTTAGAATGAGCTTTTGTGAATGGGTGAGGTAGAGCACCTTTCCTGTTATATCTCTGCAATTAAAAGGGTTGGGTGCCATACCCGTGCAGAAGGTCCATGTGGAAGGAACCTTTGTGTCTCTGTGTATGAGGGCGGGGTAGACATGTGAAACTTTTTCATCTCTGTGAAGAAATGCATCTTTTCTTTGGAGGTGAACTGAGCAAAACCTTCACTTGGAGTTTTAAAAGTTTTTTTCTTCTGAGAGCCAGTTTGGTGTAGTGGTTAAAAGCGTGGATTCTGATCTGGGAGAACTGGGTTTTATTCCCCACTCCTCTACATGCAGCTGCTGGTGTGGCCTTGGGTCAGTCACAAGTTATTTCAGATCTGTTCTCTCAAGAGCAGTTCTCAAAAGAGCTCTCTCAGCCTCACCTCACAGGGTGGCCGTTGTGAAGAGATAGTTCTGTCTACTCTGATGAACTCAGCACCAAAGATATTTTCCTCCTTCCTTGCTTCTAGGAGTTTTATCACCTCTCTTTTCTCCACCCACTGACCAGGTCAGGCTGGGCCAGGAAAGATTTTCCTGAAGATTCCAGAAATTTCCTTCCTGTAGACTCTTTAGTATTTAATTCCTTCAAATCTCCGTTCCCTGCTTGAAGGTGATGTGTGAAGAGCTTGACCCATCCATCGTTTCTCCTGTTGGATCTGTTAGCATTTGTATGGAGGTGGGCTGAGATAAGTCTGGAAAGTAACTGAAGAACTGATTTCCCCCCTCCTGCCTTGCTCTCAACCCAGAAGAAGAATAGATTGGATATATACTCCACCCTTCACTTGGAGTCTCAAGCGGTTTACAATCTCCTTTCCCCTCCCCTCCCCTTCCCAAAACAGACACCCTGTGAGAGAGCTGTGAATGACCCAATGTCACCCAGCTGGCTTCATGTGGGGAATCAAACCCGGTTCTCTAGATTAGAGTTCTGCTGCTCTTAACCGCTACACCAAACTGACTCTCCCACTAAGAACTCCTTGAAGTAAGGAGGAGGGCTCTTTGTGCTCGGTCCATCAGAGCAGACAGAACTCTTAACTGCGGCAGCCATTTGACCATGTGCTTGCCTGAAGAGCTACAGAAAGCTTCAAGGTAATGGAACTCTGTAGACATCTTTAACTTCCTAAGCTAAAGCGCCTGTCCTGTATTTTAACAACTGATGGGGCATGTATAGAGAGAGGGACAGAGAATATGCGTTTTACCTATTTCTTTTGAATCCCTTGCTCAGTTTGGTGCTGTGTTAAAGCATGCTTGCAAACATTTCCTTTTTAATAAATACTTTATAACTTTTGATGCTGGTAGTGGTTCTCTGTACCACACAAGATCCTGGGTGCTGTTAGGCCGACCATGTGCCTCTTAGACCTATGTCCAACTTAGCTGGTGAAGGCCAGTGGAGATGGAATACGGGACCCCCTGATGGACATTATCATCCTTTCTCTTAATTCTGTGGTCTATTGAGGAAGACTAAAAGAGGCCATGGTAACATTGCTCTTAAAAAGCCATCTTTAGATCCATTGGATCTGGCCAATTAAAGCCCAGTTTTGAATCTTTCATTTCTGGGTAAGGTAATGGAGAGAGCGGTGATTTTATTTGTAACTAACTGCATATCTTGTATATCTAATTTATTGTATGCTTTTAACAATGATGTACACCACCCTAAGCCCTTCAGGGGGAGGGCAGTTTAAATAATAATAATAATAATAATAATAATCGTAGTAATAGTAGACTTCCACCATCTTGGACATGCTGTTTTAAAAAGAAGCACCAGCGGGAAAGCAGGCAGTTGGCAAGTGGCTATTCCTCCAGGGGTGCACAAGGTAGTAAAGTGTCCCCGTGGTGACCAGGCGCTGGGCAGCAGGAGACGCAGAGGCAAGGCCTCAGAACTTGGAAGGGAAGCTGGGGGTCCTGACCCTCCCAGTGGGCAGTTCCTACAAAGGTCAGATGGTGGAGGCAGGCTACCAAGAGATAAAAGCCTCTCCAAGTGTTGGAAGAAAAAACCTTGGAGGACAGGGTGGAATAGGACCTGAGGCCAGAGAAGGCCCATTCAGCCACAGCCTCTCTTTGCCTTTGGCTGCTGCCCGTTTGAGTTTTGTAAAGTAAAACAAGGCTCCAAGAAAAAAACTAATACAAAGATAATTCATGTGGACTTTGGATGAGTACCCCCAAAACTTTCTCTTTTCCGACTGAATGTTGATGTGATACCTGGGAAAGGCAAAAGTGCCCTTCTGGTAGAAGTCTCCTCGGGGACCTCTTCCAACTGCAAAGACTGGCAATACTCTTCTTTTTTCCTTCTTTTTTTCATCTCAGAAACAAACCAAAGGAGAGCGGCAGAAGACAGTGACCAAATTCAAACAGCTGCACATGTTTCTGTATAAGCAAGAGAAGCTTCTGCTGGCCCAGATGGAAGAGGTGGAGAAGGAGGTGGCAAGAAATAGGGACCAGCATCTGGCCGAAATCTCTGAGGAACTCTCCTCTCTGGAAAGCCTCATCCGGGAGATGGAGGAGAAGAGTCAGCAGCCAGCCGGAGATCTCCTGCAGGTGAGGAGGTGGCGGGAAAAGCCCAGGCACCCCCTGGGGAGAAGGCTGGCCACAAACCCTTTCTTCTGCCTTCACTGGGGCAGAAAACAAACGAGCCCCGTTAATATTGGTAGTCAGTTCTTGTTTCCGTTCTGCTCATGTTCCGCTCTGTGGTTGCACATCCAGCAACATGAGCCCTTCCTCTATGAGCAGCCAGCTGGTGATCTCTTGCAGGTAAGGGTGTGGCAAGAACAGCCCAGGCTCCCCTTTGGGAGAAGGAGACAGAATTTCAGTGCCTCCTTCACTTAGCACAAAAGCAAGCCAGCCCAGGTTATGTTGCCCTGGAAATGCATCTCCCTCCACAGCGCCCTACCCCTGCCGGATAGACTGAGGCCGCTTGGCTTCCATCTCAGAAGCAAAAGTGTGTTTGTGTGTCAAACCCAATGCGAGTAAAGCCAGATTCATGAGTAGCTCTTTCAACAAAACAAAACAAAACACCAGGAGTGAGAGTCACGTGCAAGATTTTTCACAGCAGGTTTTAAAAGGAGGATAGGGTCAGGGAATCTCACCTGTACTGGTTGCTTGCAGGTGGATGCACAAAAATGCGTGCAGACACACAATGGCAACAACAGGTGATAAAGGAATGGCATCCACACACCTGTTGCTGGAACTGCTGCGCTTGCTGCTGTCACCCTATCACATTTGTGAAGATGTGATGCATATATGACCAGACCCTTCTTTTGTTGCTAATCCATGTTGCATCTCTGCAGGAAAAGGGGGAAAGTCCTTTAAATGGCTAAAAGGAGAAAGAATTTGGCTCTACTTCTCTCAGTCCCCGCGGGCACCATCCTCCGCCCACCTCGGCTTTTCACAGCAGGTTTTAAAAGAAAAGGGCAGTGGCTAGATTGCTATCGTGTTGTAACATTATAATCTGCTGCACTAACTCCTAGCTTTTATTTTAAAGCAAGTATAGTGCAGGCTGCATATTTCCAGTTCTAACTCTGCAACAATAAGGACTTTATTATTTAAAAAAAATGAAAGCTGGGGATCACTATTATTAAAATGCTAGCGTAATCTAGCCATTATTTTTATTTAACCCTGGGAAATGCCCTCCAGTGGAAAGAAGGGAGATAACAGCTTAGGGCTTCCTGCCTTCCATATGAGGAAAAATCCCTTTGCGAAACCACTGTTGAGTTGTCAAAGCAGATCACCCATCACTGCTCTGAAATGCCTCCACTTTGTCTGGTAGTATTCAATTCTCTCATTTTATGAAGATTGTGCATGGGAAAGAGCAGGTAGAGAAAGAGGTACTTTTCTCCCTTTCTCACAATACAAGAACTCGTGGGCACTCCATGAAACTGCAGAGCGGTCGGGTTAGAACGGATAAAAGGAAGTACTTTTTCACCCAAAGAGTGATTAACACATGGAATTCACTGCCACAGAAAGTGGTGGTGGCTACAAGCATGGACGGCTTCAAAAGGGAATTAGATAAGCATATGGAGCAGAGGTCCATCAGTGGATATTAGCCACAAGGTATAGATAGGGGCTCTGGGGCAAGTGATGCTCTGTCTTCTTGGTGCTTGGGGGGGTCAACAGTGAGAGGGCTTCTAATGACCTGGGCCCACTGCTGGACCTCCTGATGGCACTGGTATTTCTGGCCACTGTGTGACACAGAGTGTTGGACTGGATGGGCCTTTGGCCTGATCCAACATTGGCATCTCTTATGTTCTTATGTTCTTACCCCAGTCTTTGAGTGAAATCTGCTAGCTGGACACAAGCAAAGAGCAAGAGTGCAGAATCTTCCAGGGTCTGAGGGGTCTTCCTAGTGTGGTCTTTTGGCAAACACTGAGGTCTCTCTTTCTGCCTTTCTTCTTTAGGATGCCAGAAGCACCTTACAGAAGTAAGTGGACCTTTAACATTAACTTTCTTTAACATTAACTTTCTTAATGCTGGGATTGGACAGAGTAGCCTGTGAAGAACGTGGTCCTTCAGAATCTTGACTCTGGGCCAAATCAGTTGTAACTAAGAGCGTGGATCTCTGTCCGTTGGTCAGTGGCAAACAGCTTCTGCACAGAGCCTCATCAACAGGAGATTGTGTATTGAAAGAGCACGGGGGGGGGATTCTCGGTTGACACCTAGCTGTACATCTCTAGAGCAGTGGTCTCCAACCTTTTTGGGAATGCATCTTTGGGATTCTGACATGGTGTAGTGGGTGCAGGCCCAAAATCACTCCCTTCTATAGATTAAAAAACGTTGGAAAAACTATGGCCAAGTACATAAAAAAAAAATTTCCGGGCCTTCACATCTCTAGTCCCGGGGTGGGGAGTTATTTCCCTGTGCACAGAATACTCCACATGGAGCAGCAAAAATGGGGAAATAACCCCCCCCCTTCAGCACTGCAGCAGAGGGAAATGGCTGGGGGGGGCAGAAAAAAGCCCTCTGCCCCTCCTTCCCCTTTTGTAGTGTTTTAAGCCTAAACAGGCCCTGCTCTATTTTTTAATAGCCATTCCCCACAGGTGATGTGTGACTTTGGGGTCTCAGAAGCCACAAAAAGATGAATTTTTCCTGTCCAAAAAGCCTCCCATCAGTCTCCACTTTCAGCCTCAGCCTGTGTCTCTAGGCCAGGGATCCCCAACCTCTTTGAGTCTGCAGGCACCTTTGGAATTCTGACATACTATGGTGGGTGCAGCCACAAAATGGCTGCTACAAAATGGCCGCCGCAGCTTACCTTCAGTCACACACTGAAGATCCTTGTGCTGAGGTGGCAGCTACTGCTAAAGCAATATTTTTAACAATCAGATCTCCAGTGGCCAGTCAAAGATCTTAATGGACAAAAAGCCCCACTTGGCCCTGCCCTCTTTCTATAAACTCTTGGTGGGCACCAGGAAAAGTATCAGTGGGTACCATGGTGCCCACAGGCAACAAGTTGGTAACCCCTGCTCTAGGCTTTCTGCCAATTCCTTCCTCTATTTCTTTGGTTCACTGGTGGAAATTCTGAATTGAATGGATGGTACCTTAACGGGATTTTCTCCAGGTATGAAGAAAAGGAGGCATTTGAGAATCCAATGGCTTTTTCTCTTGCACTGAAGTGGCGTATCTGGGACTTCTCGGATGTAAGTCCCCTTTTGGAGGGCATCAAGAAGCATCTCAAAGGTAATGAAGAAACACTGCAGGGATTTCAGACTGGAATTAGAGTGAGCCAGATGTGTTTTAGCACATTCCAAGCTATTTATATAATTAGCAGACCCATGAATGGAAGGAATTCATGTACCGACTCAGATGGCCATTTTAGCTCACCCTGTAAAGCTTTCTGGCCCGAATTTTCCTGCGACTTTGGCTCAGAATTGTGTTACCTTGATTTTCTCTAAATTGTTCCAAGTTGCTGATCTCTAGCCATTTCTGTGACCAACTGGCAAACTGGGAGGCAGATGGTAGAAGGAGCCCCTAAAATGAAAGGGAGGGGGAAGAAACTGCCCTCCCTCCAGGGCATTTTCATTTAATGGAGACACTCACCTGACCATTTCAGGAACAACAACACCGCCATTCTCATTGCAGTGTGTCTGCGGCCAAATTGGACCTATCAAAACTGGTCCCTTTGAGTGTGTGTGTTTGCTGGAGAGTGTCCCAAGTGACCCCAAATTGGTCTCAAGGGGATCTATAGTGCTGTCTTAAGCAGAGTTACACCTCTTCTAAGCCCATTGAAATCAGTGGGTTTAGAACGGTGTAACTCTGCTTAGGATGGCACTGGAAAACCTCAGCTTAGCTTTCAAGATCTGACAAGATGAGGCTATACCACGCCGCCTTTCCTCCACGAGAGAAAAAACATATTAACTGATATTTTTGTCACAAGATTTGTGATAAGCGCAAGGGTCTGTTGCTCACTTTCTGTTCCTTTGCTTCCTCAGACACTCTGGATTCTGGACTTCACCCGCAGAAAGGTACATTTTTCTGTGTACACATATCTAATTATTTCTAAACTAAAAAGCGTCACCTTACAATTTGTGTTCTACTGTGTGGTGTCTTTCCAGAGATGCCATTACTGGACACCCTTGTTCTGTTCCTCAAAACCTCCCCCTCCCTGCCCCAGCCAGTTGCTTCTTGTTCTGAGGAGGTCTGTAAGGGGGCAGAGAAGATGACCTCTGAGGGGGACACACTGCCTCCTTTCACCTACCTGCTGCCATATTGAAACAATGGGAGAACGGTTACTGGGCAACAGCATTTGAGGGCCTTTCATAATCCTCCCCTTGAGAGGCACAGACCAGGTTGGGTATCTGCTTCCTCTAAGTGGTTTTCCCTGCCTGCTTTCCAGGTTCCTCTCAGCTTCAAGGTGCTGTAAATTATGTACTGGATTCATGGGTTTAAAAAAAAAATATCTGAGTTTGTGGAAGACCAGTGCAATGTTCACTCTAAGCTGTGGAGTCTGGTGAGCAAAAATTCTACTTTGTGAGCTACTGGCATTAAAGTTGTGAGCGAGCTGTTTGGCTACTGCATACATTAGTTTGCTTTGGAGCCCTCCTTCCTGAGCTAAGACCAAAATGTGTGAGCCGGAGGCTAAAAAACTGTGAGCTAGCTCACACTAACTCAGCTTAGAGGGAACACTGGACCAGTGTATAAAGGCAGAAGTCCAGCCTGCCCTGGTGCTCTCTTCCTATTGTTCAGACACAATTTGTGTTTGATATTTGGGAGAAAAACTGGAACTACGTGCCCTTCTACACGAGCCTCCTCTTCAGCTTGGTCTGCTGCCTCCCCAGCTGTCGCTAGGATGTACACTTCTGGGCAGGAGAAGGCGGTCTCCTAAGCATTTTTAGAGTAAATTCAGACAGAATGAAGGCCGATGTTACATGAACTGCCTCAACAAGTGGCCATTCACACATTCATGTATGCAGGTTGAACAAGCATAAGTTTTTAGAGAGCTGTAAATAAGTCACTTCCACAAGAATAATTAATTAATTAACTATTGTATGGCATTTTGTGTAGAATAGCCAGGAGATGCTAAGATTGTCTGGCAGCCAGAAGTTCTAGCTCTATCGTTATGCACCACTAGGTGGCAAGCTAGACTTCTTAAAACAACCACACAAGAATGGAAATACAGCAAATGTAGTTATGCAAACAAATAGGATATAATCTGTCACGCTGTAAAAATTTACACTAGAGACTTCTGTCATATACAGTCCTGATTACAATTATAAACAATACACCAGGGGCAACCAGTATGTGCTGGTGGCCTGTAAAGTTTTTAATGCCAAATTAGGTGCTCAATTATTTTACGGAGTACCAATCTGGATTGAAGCCTTAAAAGGGGACTTGGAAAGAATACAGTCCAGATTCCTGTGGAAAATTCTTGGACTTTCCTCATGTGTTCCTTACGCAGCTGTCTGCTTAGAAACCAATCAAAGGCTTCTATTGACCAGAGCATGGCTGATGATAACTCAGTTTTGGCTTAAATCTCACTTTCATGCTAAAGCTAAAAGTATTATTACTCATATGTTAACCACCACTGAAGCAGTGTAGAAGGCCCAGAGTTTCAAGGGAATGTAAATAGAGATGGGCAGGAACCTCATTTTTGCAGTTTGGTTTGAGATTCATGGCTGAACCATGAACCAAACCACGAACCGATATGTTGGTTCGTGGGCCGAACCTGCTTTCTGCTTCCCACCTCTGAGCCATTTAACCCCCTGCTTTCTGCTTCCCTCCCCCACTTTGGTGGCGACTCGCGAGCATAAAGCAGGATTAAATGACTCAAAGCCATTTAACCTTTTGCTTTCTGTTCTCCATCACTTTTCACAGGGAACAGAAAGCAGGGGGTTAAATTGCTTCAAGTCATTTAAACCAAACAGCTGAGCGGTGAGGAGCAGAAAACGAGTTCAAATGGCTCCAAGCCATTTAAACCAGCCAAAATTTGTGAGGAACTTTAGTTTGTGAGCCAGTTTGTGCCCATCCCTAATTGTAAATCCTTTGTCTTTCTTACTCCAAGTTAACTATACTGTGAAGCACAGAAACTATTAGCAGAGTGTTTTTGCTTTTGCTTTTTGGGAGATACCTGGAGGAGAAGAGGGTTTTCATTTCGTGCTACAAATAATTTAAAGTTGGATTGAGTAGAAATTTATCATTTCTGGGATACAGAAAAAGTTGTACAGCCATAGGAGTCCATGCAAAAACTCCAAACAAGAACAAGATCTGTGTAATACCTTTTATTAGGAACAACCAAACTGGCAGTGTGCTAATCAGAGGTCTGCATCCAGCTGGATGTTACAACCTTTAAAAAAGATAAAAGGGCAGAAAGCAGATTCTTCAGGACATGGTGTGAAGGTCTGATCTTGTGGGCATCCTTTGAAGAATGCAAGTAGGTCATTGGCTTCACTTTATTGCTGGTCTGATGTTATCTTATAGCACATTCCCTGAGAAACTATTCATGCCATGTCCTCCAATCTTTGTTCTTTCATTGAAACCTAAAAACCATCCCAAATCCATCCAAAGCTGTCCCAAATTGCCAGTCAAGAGCGTCAGCTGCCTGGCAGGCTGAAAGCAATGGGAAACACCTTACGGTCTCCTTTTTTTGTTCAGAGTTAATTTAAGTGAAATTTGGTGGTATTATCTGTTTTGAAATGTGTCTAGGATCTGGACTAAGAGCCACTTGACATGCTCAGCCCATTTTGTGCCTCTGCCCATTTTCATGGGATTTGAGTGTTTGTGTAAATGCATTCCCATGTGTGATTTCTTACCAGAAAGTAACCTATGAGCTGTGACTGAAATACCATTGTTCTTTTTTTCCCCCTCCCTCATGGTTCTCCACTTGGGATAGGATATGGGAGGAAATAGGTTGTGTTCCTATGGGTTTTTATTTTGTATTTTATCTGCCTTCTCTTGAAGTGCACAGGAAGACTGCTTTGCCATTTAATAGCACAGGAGAGTCTGTGAATCAAGGAAAGGGTTAAAATACATGGGAGGAAACAGTCCAGGCCAGAGGGTGAAATTTGCCAGCTGAATCTGCTTCTCTTCTTGTCTCCTCATTTCCCCCCAACAGCAAAACTGACTCTGGATCTGGACACAGCCCATCCCAAACTTGTCCTGTCTGCGGATCAAAAGACTATGAGAGAAGGAGAAAAAGCTCAAGATCTGCCCAACAGTCCTGAAAGATTTGACAACTGGGGTATTGTGCTGGGCCGTGAGGGATTCACAGGAGGCCGCCATTTCTGGGAAGTCCTTGTGGGAAGTGAGGAAGACTGGGCTGTGGGGGTGGCCAGAAAGTCTGTCAGGAGGAAGGAACAGATCACCTTTCGTCCTAAGGATGGTATCTGGAAATTAGGGAAGTGGGGGGGCAGCTACCGGCCTCAGATAGAAAATGATGTCCTTCCCCTGCCTGGGGAGCTCAAGAGGATACAAGTCAGTCTGAACTATGCTGGGGGGCGAGTTGCTTTTTTTGACGCTGACCGAGCAGCCCTTCTGTATGAGGTCTCTGGAGCCTCCTTCTCTGGAGAGACCCTCCTGCCCTTCTTCTGGGTGCGTTCAAAAGGCCAACTCACAATCTCTTCTTAATACGTTTTCTTCACACCAGGACCATTGAGAAGAAAATATGATTTCTCAAGAGCCCCACTTTTTTGAGTCCTGTAAAGGCCTCTCCAGGCTCCCAGCCACTGAAACTGACTTGAATAAAATTGAGACAATTTCCTCTCCATTTCCCAACATTCCCGTTTTTCTCTGTCTTCTTTCTGAAGGCAGGAATTAACACATTTTCACATCATAAAGAATAACAGGCTTGTTCTAAAGGAGAGCTCTGAATAGACCCTCTGCGCCCTCTTCAGCCTCTTTTTCTCTCAAGCTCAAGAGAAACTACCGCAGAACCTACAGAGGAAGAAGAAGAAGAAGAGGAGATTGGATTTATACCCCGCCCTTCACTACCCAAAGGTGTCTCAGGGCGGCTTACAAACTCCTTTCCCTTCCCCTCTCCACAACAGACACCCTGTGAGGTAGGTGGGGCTGAGAGAGCTCTGACAGAAACGGCTCTTTTTCAAGAACAGCTCTTATCAGAACTACGGCTTGCCCAAGGTCATCCAGCCAGGTGCAAGTGGAGGAGTGGGGAATCAAGCCCGGTTCTCCCAGATTAGGTTCCGTGCACTTAACCACTACACCAAACTGGCTCTCTGCACATTTAAAAAGAGTCCCTCCACATTTAAAATACTATTTGGGACTTTTTCTTTGCTTTGTTTTACTGGAGACCATCTATTAGGATTTGTCTTTGTTCATCATACCCTTCTGAAGAGCACTGAAGATCTGGCCCTATCAAGGTTGCTATGTTCATAGCACTTTTGTTTCAGTTATACCAGAGGCTGAAAAGATCTTTTGCGTAGGATAAAATCGTTACCTTGAAAACTGAGCTACCTGGAATCGGGGGTGGGGGGGATTTTCTAACTGCCAGACAGGGGTCCTCTCGTTTATTGACCTGAACCAGCTGGAAAGAAAATCAGGAGGATTTGTGTAGCCAGGGTTCGTCTGCTGGGTTACAGTTGCATTAAAGTTTTTTTCTCCTGAAATCATTATTAGCCCTTTTCATCCACTCAGCTGTCTCACACTCCTTTAATTGTGTTTCCAAGGAACTGGGTGATCATATTTTATCCTGACAACGGCTCTGTGAGGGAAGTCAGGCCAAGAGCTAGTGAACGTCACAGGAGCAGGAATTTGAATGTAGGCCTTGCCCGTCCAAGTCTACCACACTGTGCACTGCAACACACTGGCTCCCAGTGTTTACAACCACACTAGTGTGTGATCTAGAATTCAGAAAAATCTGATAACAAGCAGGGGACCCATCAGGCTCATGGGGGGGGGGGTCTCATCCTCTGCCTACCCTTGCTTGCCTTGTTGCCCACTGTTCAGTCACCGTTGACTTCATGTGCTGCCATCCCCTCCTACCTGAATCACACAGTAGTAGTGAGGAATGGGGGGTGTCCCCTGTGCTCCCCCACACACTGCTGCCTTTTCCATGTCTTCTTACTGAGTAGTGGTTTGTAGGCAGCCGCTCCCCCTCCTCCCTGCCTTCCCACAGTGCCACAGGGAAGTGGCAGTTCCAACTCCTCCTCTGCTGCCCATCCAGCTAGGCCCATGTTGAGGTGGCGGGGGGTGGGGGTGGGTGAGTGATTTTGGTTGGCCTCGCTTTTTCTTCTTCCCTGCCCGCCAACTCTTGGGGCAGCTGCTTCTCGCACCTCCAAACTGGCAGCTGGCATCCCATGACAGAGGGTTGAAGTTTCTCAGTCTTTCATTAAGATTTTAATTTTTTTTTTAAATTGCTTTTAGATTTTTCTGCAAACCTGGTTGGGGACGGGGTTGCCCTGGGCTTAGAAATATCTGCCATGTGTACCTGGGTTTTTTCAATATGCACAGGTGTCAGGCTCAGAATTTGATGTTTAATACTGTTCTGGCTCTGCAAGAAGAGGGGGAAATCCGGGGTGCCTCCTTTCCCCAACACCTGGTGAAGGGAGAGAAGAAGCTGGTGATGCGGGCAAGATACCCATCTGTTTTCTTACTGACTGGAGGTCTGTCCCTATCCCTAACTTGCCATTGTCCCAGTATTTGATGGTAATTTGAATACCGAATTGGCAGTTCTGCCTGCCTCCTGTCAAAAGAGTTAACAGCAATATCTGATGTAGCCCTTTTTGTGAACTGTAACCAAAATCAGATTTACACCAAAAACCTTTCCCAGCCCTACAGGAGCATCTGTGAAAAAATATACTCTTTTTTACTAAACACAGCCAATAGTGATTTCTCTGAAGTTATTCCTTTGGTCCAGTATTAAGTTTGGCTCATTATCGACTTCATTTCATTTATACCCTTGCCTTTCCCCCAAAGTGGCTTCCATCCTTCCGTGACCGTCTTCCATTTTATCCTCACAACAACCACAACCCTCAGAGGTAGGTTAGCTTGAGTGTGACTGGCCCAATGTCAACAAGCCAGCTTCCATGGTAGGGCTAGGATTGGTGACTGGGTTGGACACTGGCTCTGATAGGTCAGGGAAGGTGTTAAACCCTCTTTGTTTTGTAAAGGAAGGGATATTTTCCACCCTCCCTGTCTGTGGTACCTCCCACTTTCATGGGTTCTCACAATTAAACCTTTGATTATATTGCAAAGAGCAGAGTTTCTACATTTTCCAGTGATTCCAAGAGCTACTGTGCTCTCATAATCTGGATTTTCCCAAGTGGTGATGTAGCTAACATGGTGCACACACCCTGTGCTCTCCTGCCAGTTGCCAGGTTCAGAGGAACAGGCATGCAGGTCCTTCCATTATCAGTTTATTTTAAAAAGACTATACATGTGCATGGCACTTGGCAGAGTACAGGAAGACATCCCTGTCCTGAGGAACTTACAATGTATCCTTGACCATAAAGGACGGGAGAAAGGTGGAGGCAGGGATAAATGGGAAGAACATAGATTCATTCTTGACAGAGCATTTGGGGCTCTTTAACTTGGAGAAATGATGGCTGAGGGGTGACATGATTGAGGTTTATAAGATTATGTGTGGGATAGAGCAGGTAGAGAAAGAGGTACTTTTCTCCCTTTCTAACACTATAAGAACTCGTGGGCACTCAATGAAATTGCTGAGCAGTCGAGTTAGAACGGATAAAAGGAAGTACTTCTTCACCCAAAGGGTGATTGACACATGGAATTCACAGGAGGTGGTGGCAGCTACAAGCATGGACATCTTCAAGAGGCAATTAGATAAGCATATGGAGCAGAGGTCCATCAGTGGCTATTAGGAACTCTCAGTCTGGGGCAAGTGATGCTCTTTATTCTGTTTGCTTGGGGGGGGCAACAGTGGGAGGGCTTCTAGTGTCCTGGCCCCAGTGCTGGGCCTGATGGCACCTGGTATTTTTTGGGCACTGTATGACAGAGTGTTGGACTGGGTGGGCCATTAGCCTGATCCAACACTAGCTTATGTTCTTATTCCAGATAGATTTGAATCCAGTAGCACTTCAGAGACCAACAGGCTTTTCCCATTTCTAAGGTTCTACTGGATCTGAGTGTAGCTCTTCTACTGCAGAGCAGACTAACATGGCTACCTTCTGAAACCACATTCCTTCCCGTTTCTGTTGGGAAATGGGACTAAGCAGTTGTGCCAAACAAAAGGACAGTTTTGAAGGAAGTGAGGTGATATCAAGGCAGGTATTCTAGGGAGGCAGTTCCAGGCATAAAGGGTAGGAAGGGAGTTGTTGGAGGACACAGGAGGTCTTGGGGAGGCAGAAGATGGTGAATCTGAAGTTCGAGAACAGGGTTGAATTGGAATATAAGAGCAGAAAGGTACAGAGCAGGGAGAAGGAGGAGTTGGATTTATACCCCACCTTTCACTCAGAGTCTCAGAGCGGCTTACAATCTCCTGGACAGAGGTGGTTTGTGGGGGATCTTAGAAGATGAGAGTGAAGAAGGTTGTAAGGGAAGAGGAACCAAACTTTGGGCAAGAATGGAAGGCATCTTTCACACTTTTTTTTTTTTGCTGTCAAGTCACGGCTGTCATAGTGACCCCATAGAGTTTCCAAGGCAAGAGATGAACAGAGGTTGTTTGCCATCACCTGCCTCTGTAGCAACACTGGTATTCCTTGGTGGTCTCCCATCCAAGAACTAACCAGGGCCAACCCCAGAGGGGTTGGTTCACTCTAGACTCCTCCATGAGGGGCTCTTTTTCTGAGTGCAGGGCCTTTTATCTCCAGCCCTGGTTGTCAAACAGCAGGCTGTGCAGCTCCCATGAAATGGAGACCTCATCTAGGTGGGGTTTGGGGTTTTCAGGACAATTACCAGCTTCTCAACGGAATAATTATTTTTGTTTGTGTTCTATAGCTAAAGCAATGAAACAGTACTATTGCAATTTGTATGTCTGTAAAACAGCACAAATGATAAATGAAACTGAATGGTTTTATGCGGTGGCAGAATGCGGTCTTGTGCGGTGGCAGTGTGGCGATATGACATACGGGTCCTGAAGCCCCAAGCCAGAAGACGTTTCCACTGTGCAGTTACGGTGTGTGCAATTAAATGAATTATATATCTTGTCTTTCCTATCCCCTATGAACACTGTTAGTCCCTTGTCTAAAGTGTAACGGTAAATCACTTTGAGCCCACTTGTGGGGGAAGCGATTAATAAATCAAAAACATTATTATTATTATTAATAATAATAATAACAATAGAATACCTGTAAACAGTGAACATGCAAATGTCCTCAGGAAAAATGCACTTTTTGTTGGGACCCATGTTCTGTGGTAAGAGTGACTGGTGGTAGGTAACAGCAAAGGCTGAGACAAGAAAGTATTGAGAGCCTCAGCAGCTGACCTGCAGATTGTCCAGGAAAAGCTCTTTCACTCCTGAAGGAATAAACTGGGACTTCTTGCCAGGTAACAAAACACCGGAAAGCCAACCCCATGCAGGTGCAAGTCTCTCCACTCACCCACTGCCATTTGGGTGGGTCCCCACTTTGCATAGCTCCTCCTCCTTCAAAGTTGGAAGCTTTGATAGCTGCCCCGTTATATTGTATATTTATTATTTTTTTTATTAGATTACATTTTAAGCCACCCTCTCCTGCCAAGGCAAGGCTCAGAGTGGTGTACAATGTAATCATAATCTGTAATAAAACTTAAAAATAATAAAACACAGTAGATTCACTTATTTATTATTGGATTTATATCCTGCCAGAAGATATAGTGGCTACCTCTCTTCTCATCTTCAGGTTGACAGTGGTTCCACCGGAAGTCCCGCCTCCCTGAGGGAGCTGTGCTGGTAGGGGAGGGGCTGAGGGGGTGGCCGCAGGCCGCCCCTCCCCCCTGGGCTGGCGTGTGGAGCACATGGCTGATTCTGCGAGGTGGGGGAGGGAAAATGGAGTCCCTGGGTGCTTTTGACTGTTTTTGGGTGCTTTGAACGTGTT